TAGTTAGCAAAGTGATCTGAAAAAGGTTTTTGATTCAGGTTTTAACAAGTTGAACGACTGAGTCAGATTAAACTTTGTGATCCAGCAGTCACATCTTCAGTAATTTCTTAGTACGTAGCAGCAAGTTTCTACTACTGCTTACATTTGAGGCACCTGTTAGGACATACTTAAAGCAGGTTTCTCAAAACTTCTTTGGCTGACATACTGTATCAGAAACAAAATGTTATTACTGATTGAAGTGTCTCCTCCAATCTCTCTGGCACGCTGATTAAATAGGAGATACAGTGCAACTTCCTTCTGTTAGCTCATGAAATTGGCTTTCACTTATTTTCCCTGAAGCAATTCTCTTTTTTGCTTCTTGAACTCTAATCCTTTGCTGTTGATTGCCTGCCATTGTAAGGTCTGATGCACCCAGGGCTCACTTCATCTGTGTAGTTAAAAAAACCCAAACACCTACACAGATCTAAACTTACAGTGGAAACATGCAGGTGTAATGTTGGCTTTGAGCTGTTTTGAGTTGCTTTCCCTACACCACCAAGTGCTTCAGGATGCTTTCATAGCAGATGCAAGGGAATTCTAGAAGATAGGAATAAGAATTTGTTTGTAAAAGGTGGGATTTGAAGGAGCTCAGAAGGGAACGTCAACAGGGCAGAATCTTTACAGATGATTACTGCTGAGAATGCATTTTCAATTGGAAAGGCTGTTGTAAAGGTTGCATACAAGTCTATAATTTGAAGGACAGAAAGTCTAATGCTGTGTAATTTTCTAGTTTCTTCCACAGCACACTGAAAGCATGAATTGAGCTGTGGCTAGGAGGAGGGTTTTGCCTCAGGTTGGCAGGAGAACTGTGGCTTGTGTATCAGTCATGGTAAGTTCTGTCCTTCATGCAGAAAGAAGGATCCTGACTGTTAGTAGTTACTACTTGGATGAGATTGAAAACCATCAGTGTTTGATGTCCTGGTGAAAAATCTAGTGATGTAGGAATAAAATCCAGGTGTGCTGGTATGCAGTCAATTACTCTAAGTGTGCTTTTCTCATGAACTGTTGTTTCAATTGGCAGCATTTCTAATGAGAGCTGCAGAAACTTAAAAAGCCAAAGGGAAGTTTTTCTTCAGTTACTGAAGTTATGAGGTTTCTTGTTCTGCTTTTTTTTTTTTTTTTTAATTATTGTGGTTTCTTATGATTTGGTACAAGTTCTTTGAGTTGGTGATAGTGCTGTGGCTGGAAGGAAATGAAAAGAAAATGCAGAACAGAAGGAGGCTGAGCAAGACAAAGTTGTTCGTGCTGTTATTTGCTATTTACAGGAGTTAAGTATGCCTAAAAAGTTACCTACTTAACTACAGTTTCCTGCTTGGCATATGCTGCTAATATTGCATCAAGGGGGCTCATTTATGCTATTGCATTAATAATGTAAAAAATGGGATTAAAAAGCAGTTTGCGTTAGTAGTGCCACTAGTATTTCATACAACTGTTGCAATTAGGGCTTGTTGCTGCCTAAGGAGATACAGTAAGTCAAGCATATAAGCAGAAGGAAAGCTGGCAGAGCTGTTTCTGTTAAAAGATGAAGCTAAAACTTTCACATCTTAGGAAATGATGCTCTTAGCCCATGTCAGATTCGGATACTGGTTTATGCGACAGCCAAGAGCTGATTCTGTAATTGCAGCTATGGAACAAAGATATAAAAGACGTTCCTGTCACTGCAAGCACATGCATCATCTGATCCAAGATTCACAGGAGCCACATTTCTTTCTGCAATCTAGATGGACAAAATAACCAAGTAAGATGAGTCTCCTGTGCTGTGCGTGGTTGAGGCTGGTACAAATTTTTAGAAAGAATGACTCCAATTTGGCTACAAGTTTTTGAAGTTTGCAGGTATCCTTGATAATTGCTGTTGGTAATGAGAAATTGATAGCATATCTAATTAGTCAGCATGGACTTAATGAATAAAATCAATGTACTCTTACTCTCAGATATAGGTTATTCCTTTAGATTTCTAACCATAAAAGAAGAACACGGCATGGGAAACAGTACTTTTTATTTTTGCATTCCCTGATTAGACTTGGTAATTTCCATCTGACTGGAAGGAGCTAGGCAAGGACTTGTGTGGAATATACATTTCTTACCTGTCCTGCTGTAGATTAAATAGGAACAGTTTTTTGTCTGAATTGGTCTGAATAGGAGGCAAGTCATGAAATGAGATAAACTCTGAACAGTAATACTAATCAAAACTAATCTTAAGGGAATATATATTACCTTTTGAGCAGCCGAAGGAATTCTTAGACATATGTATGTTCTTACATTTTGCTGTATTTCATACTGCTTCATATTAAGGCTAATTTCCTTGAATGTTTGTTCAAGACAGGTGTGAGCTCTATGCATTAAGAGTATGTTCTTAACCTAAGATGACTGCAGGTACAGAGTGTTGTGTGTAACAGTATTAGTTTAATCCACTTTATTAATAACCAGCCCCCTCTTCTGACCTGAGGGGACTTTTCTGACCTGTTTTGCTCTTTGTGACTCCACTTGCACTCTCCTGTATGGGCACAGGTTCTTCCACAGGCATCTGTGCTTGGGTGATATGGAAATGGTTATCAGGAGGATGCAGCTTTTGGTTATTGCCTTGCTGGGCTGGATTTGCACAAGTGATCTGGCAGAGAGATGCTTTTTTGTTTAGCCAAATCTTCTGAGCATTAATGGTGACTGGTGAGATGGGGGTGGTTGATACTTGAGGTCAAATGAAAAGGAGTTCTGTGAGGAGGAAAAAAATGCTAGCATGTTGTTAAGCTTATTGCGTAAAAGAACTAGTTTCTATGCTTAATGGGATCATTTTCCCAAAATGTAACGTATACATTGGTAGTGGCCTGCAAACCTAGTTTTTGAATCCACGCAACTGTGTAAATGTAAAGTATACACTAATATCAACTGAATTTGGCTGTAAAGAGTCCCATGGCTGCCTTTATCATAGAGTGGAGTCCGTGCACAGGAGCTACTCTCAATAAACTGAGATTTCTTTACTGTAGATTTGGTATGACGTTAATCCATTTATTATTCCAACTGTTTAATTATTCTGTTATGTTAAAATAAGAACAGTAGAACATCTCTGCCTTCCACAAGTTCTTGGTGATAAGAACTATAAGATACTGTGGCAGAGGGAAGGGATACCTGATTACTGCAGATTGCCACGGGCAGCTGCTGTAGCATTTTGTAGTGTATTTAGCCTAAGTCAGGACTAAGGCTCACAGGCAGAGAGCATGCAAGCAAATCTGCACCGTGGCTCCACTATAGCTGGTTCTAATTAGTCATTTTTATGAGCTCCAGAGTCAGACAAAAAATGAGGAGCCCTCCCCTTGTGTAGTTTCCTGTTTGCTGGGTGCATGTAAAAGAGATCTGGCTATGATGTATGTTAATAATGAGCTGATAATGTAAGCCAGCTGAGAGATGTGGAATTAGTCTGGTATGCTGCCAAGCGGGAGGTGAAAGATCAGGAACTGACTCATGTTGCCAAGACCTGGTCCTGCAGAGAAGGTCTGCCCATTAATAGATTAAGTTTCTCATTAGGACTGCACAGCATATGCTTACAGCTTTTGGGTTTCAAGATGAAACCAAACACCAGTAAAAGCCTGCTGAACAGAGTGGCAGATTTACTGGTAAATAAAGGATTAAAGGAATGCTTGGCAGGGTTTTTGGACTGGAAACCTGTCTGGCCTTTGAAGATTACTCCATATTGTAGGTCCTCCCTTAACGTAGATACCAGGAAGAAGCTGGTTCTGCTCTTTACTGTTGTCTGTCCTTGTAAGAGCCTTATCAGTCGAGGATGTACGATGCTTACATCTGTCTGTAAGACAAGCTTAAGGATGTCTCTAGTTTCCCCTTACCTGGGGAAACATGGTGTCAAAAGGAACTGCAGGATAGGGTTGGTAAAATGGTCACCGTTTGACCAGTGAATGACAAAGTGCTTTTAAGGTAGAGAGTTAAGAGCAAAACGTATCTCTGTTGTCGTGTTAAGCTATGAAGGAAACAAAACTGCAAATGCTGGAAGCAGCAGTGAATTTTACCTTAACGCTCATCCAATGAAAGGGTTCTCTTTGCTCTTGCCTGGCCAGAAGAAACAAGTATCTTTAATCATTATTAAAATTATACTGTGTTGGTACCAATGGTCAAAACAAAGGCTTTTTTGAAGCAAGACCTCTGCCTTCAGTAAAGTTAAAATAGGGGGAAGGTATCAAGCTTCTTCCTTGCTCGCACATGGCAGTATGACATCATACAGAAAGGAACAGTATTTGCTGTTATTACATTTGCAATGTTAAATAGATTGCTTTTATTCAGCTGTAGCCCCTTCCTCTGCTGCTTGCTCCCCTGTCACTGGAGCCAATGGGGTGGATGCTGCACACTTGCAAAGTCAAAAGTGTGTGAGTGCAGTCAGTGCTGTCAGTAGTGAGAATGGACAGTGTTCATTGTATTGAGACATTGTTAGCCAGCCACATCAGCTTCCCTGGCCCTTAGGGAGCAGATTAAAACACTCCTAATGTTTAATAGCATAACTCCTAAGGAGATCTTATGTAAATATATTCAGTGAGCACTCATTAATTTCCCATGAGAGCCAGGTTGAATGAAGATGCTTTTCAAAGAAAGGAAAAGAAAAATTATCTGTAAAGACTGCACCTGTTAGAAAAAAACTGTAAGAGACGTTTGTGTGTTAAGTTGAACTGGGAATCTGTGGCAGACACTTGGGGGAGAAGGGAGGTTTCGAAGTTAGATTAGGAAAGGAGAAAAATAGGACTTAAATGTATAGGAAAGCTCTACTTCATTGATTTGCAGGGAGGTCTTGCCAATTCTTGAGCAACAACACTTCAAGAGCACAACACATTCAACCTGTTAGAAAGGCAGTGTAGGGGTCTGTGTAATTTTGTGGCACTCAGCATAAATGATCATGATGGATGAGAGTTTGTTATCTTTGCCAAAGACTTTAAGGACTCTAAAGAAGCAACAGCAAGGCAGGAATGGTAAAACTGGCGTCCAAGCCCAGCGTTGCTTTTGAAGGTAATAGTCTTAGGAGCATTTCTTGTAGAAAGACTGAGATCTTGGGCAAAGCTCCCACTGCACAGAGAAGCTGATGCAGTTTCTACCTTGTTATCGGTGTCACTAGCACCTGATGCGCTGGTGTCTGAGGTTACTGGCAGGTTGGATGCCACAGATTTCTGCTTACACATAGAGACAAGGTTATTGGTTTGCCTCTGAAACAGTGCTGCAGACCAGGTTGTATTCAGGGCTATTTCTGGTGCTGTTTTGTCCACCCAGTATTCCTCAGGCTTAGAGCTGTTTCCAGTAGCAGTTCCTCCCTTTCTGCTTTTTCTTTTGCTAGGGACCTTTGGAAAGAAGGGGGAAAGGCAACACAGTTCTGAGGAATAGGCACTGCAGAAAGGTCACCTTTTTAGGTGATATCATCTTAAAAGGAGCTCTTAAAGATGCCATGACCACAATAAAACCCGTGCTTTAGCCATCCCTTTTAATTAGTCCCTCAGACAATGTTTAACCAGAGAGGTTTCTGCTTGGTTTCTGTTCCACTGCAGTTCTGGTATGGTGAGCTTCCTTTGTTCTCGGTGACAAAGAATTACTTAAAGGGTTAAAGGTGACACTGAGTTCATTTCCTGAATGGGCAAAGCTGTCCCCAAACCCAGCCTCATTTCTCTGTTAATCTCCTCGTAAATCCTTACTGCATTTTTGAAATGGAGATGATTAGCGGAGTTGTAGCCAAGGTAGTGGGATATTCCGATATGTTAAGTTTCAGCATTACATGTAAGATTAAAAATATGCATGTGTTCTATCTGTTACTGTTCCAAGTTTCCTTGTCCCTGCTCAGTCTGGCACAAGTGTTGTCTTTTCATCTCAAATGAAGTTCTCTTGCAAATATTAAACTTTCCTTTCAGGAAACAACTAGAAAAATAATCTCTGAGGGCTGGATTTGGAGCTCTAGTGTCCCATACAGTTGTTCTGACCTTAAACAGAACTACATTTGTTAGGCAGTAGAGATATAACTTGTGGGTGAAGTTCTGCATCAGTTAATTTAAGTTAGTACTGCTGTGGTCATTTTTGCCACAAATAAGGTATTTTACTTCAAATTTACATGGATGCCTATAGGCTCCAGGTAGGAGAGGCAACTGTGCATAAATCTCCACTAAGACTTGACAGACTGGAGTGTAATTTAGAGGCATTTGTTACAGTCTCGCCAAGTTTCAGGTGTTCACCATGACTTATACATTGTATTACCTTCTCAAACTTCCTTTGGTAGTTTAACCTGATGCTCTTGAGGTGCAACGCTTTCTCTCCTGCTTCACTGGCTGAATGCAGCTGGTTGGATTCCTGTCTGCCAAGGTGCATCTCCCCAGAATGCAAAAGCAGTGCAGCTGCCATATGGTGTGACACTATTTAGGCTGTCATCAGATTTTTTTTTCCATGTGACCCTATGTGTGGATCTTAAAAATTGAAACGTAAGTAGAAAAGCTTCAGCTTTGCAGATTTAGGACCTAATTTAAGGCAAACAAAACAAGTAGCTGTACAAAAAGTACTGGGTAGGATGATGGAGATAGGTCTTTGCTAATAACATTTTTCTTCCTCTGAAAAGGAAGCCCCTCACAACCATAAAATGAGAAGCCGAATGATTTATTGAAGGCAATTTAAAACTACTGCTAATCCAAGTCACTTGCCTTTAGGCAGTTATCAGTGCTCCTGTGTAAATGTGTTTGTTAAGATGGTGTATCTAAAGAAAGCGCTATCAACGAAATGATACTGCTGTCCAGAAGTTTTGGATGCATTTTGCATGTTCGTTATCAACCCATCCTTTAGGCCTGAAAACAGAAGGTCTGTGTTTGTGGATAAAAACACGTGAGACTAAAGCTGTCTACTGCTGTGCTCAGCTTTAAGAACTCCTGGAAAACTCAGTTCAGTTGCCCTGTGCTTCAGTTCTAAATCTGTGTAGTGGGAAAGATTCCCACATACATCATGGAGATGGTTTCTTTTTTTCCCCATTTCAACCATAGAATTATTCTCTATCAGATTATACCTAGCTCTGTAAGTAATATCCTTTATATTTGTGTAATGCAGAGCACAATGGAGACTAAATCTCAGCGTGTGCTTTTTGGCACCAGTGTACTGCAGAGTCCTGTTGTTTGTCTCATTTTATTTTTAATTGGCTTCTCAGGATGTACCTGCTTAATAAGAAAAACTATTTTTCTTTTTCTTAGTGAACGGTAGGGGAAAAAAGCATTGTAATTTGTTCATGGAATCCTCTGTCCTCTTTCACACCTGTGTAGCTCACAGCTCCATCCCGCACAGATCTGAGCACTACTCACGCTGAGCTTTTACTCTCAGTTCTTGTTGATTTTTGTGGCCCTGGAAAGTGCTGAGCAAATTACACCATTCAGACTCTAGGACTCTAATCTCTTTTTAAACAAGGAGCCTGTGTAAAGCAATTTAATGTCTAAACAGAGGAGTGATGCCTATCGGCATCTAACAAAGACTTAAGCAGCAGAGAAAGCGCAGTGCTATTAAACAAGAGAAAGACACAGGACCAGGGGCTGGCACAATGCCAAGGCCGAAGCAATTTGTTCAGTGTTTGTAATTTGCATGTCCCCATTTCTGCAACGCTTCAGTTTATTTATTTTACTGAGATATTAATGTAATTGATCGCTGCGATGCTCTGAGCACGGGCTCGGAATTTCATGGGGGGGTCACACTTGAGGCATTCTGCAGAGACTTCCCTTTCAAATAGTTGTACTCCCTCAAAAATGATACGCCTTTAGCAGCGTCTTCAGCGTAAAAGCAAAATCCAGATCTCTGAAAGGTTGTTGGTTACATTAGGAGAAGCTGGCTATTGTCTACTCCTCTGGGCTTTGTGGCTACCCCTGTATCATTTTTCCTGTGTTGTTGCTGTTTTTTAGTTAGTGCTTGGTCTGACTGGTCTTCTGATAAATTCAGTGTTGGTTCTGACCATAAATTAATCGAACTTAGTGGTAGCTGCTCTTCTTTCGTACCTAGAGAAACTGAGTTGCAGGGCTTTCCTATTGCTATCATGTTTTTGAGAAAACTGTGAATAAACTGGTACCCTGAATCCTTCTCTTTCCTACAGCTATCGCATAGAAACAGCTTAAGTGTTATTTGCTGTGGACTTGTAGTGCTGACACCATGAATGAACGCGAAGTCCATGGAGTTGACCACAATGAGACAAACAGGGCTGTAAGGAAAGGCTGTTGTATGACATTTTGCCTACTGTTGCTCTCGAGACACTGACATTTGCAGTTACTGGTAAGGGGAGGAAGACCTGAGCATATGAATGGTGTCTGTATGGAAGGTTTTAGTACCTTATCTCTCAACAAAAGCTGTCTCTAGCAGATATTTGGTTCCAGATATTTATCATTGATTCTAAACAATAAAGTAGCTTAAACACTCAGAAGACCTCAGCAGTACAGCAGGCATTTGGTAATGTCAGCGCTGCCAGTGGGGGTTATTTGTGAGGCCTCCACTGACCTTTGCATCTATACGGTTGTTTTACAGACTTTTAAGGTCATCAGCTGTTCTGAGAAAACAAGTATATAGATTTCAATCTCAAATGTCTGACAATCTTTGAACGACGTCTCAGTTATGTGACTTGAGGGTGCTACAGAAGATTGGTTTGCAATACGTGGATATTTTGGAATTATTTCAACCAAATGGTAATGTATAGAATTATGAGCATCAAAAATGGAAGCTTTGCACCTACAAGACTGGAACTGTAGTTCTAAGTATGGTTTCCTGAAAGTTTTCATTTTGTGTTTCCAAGTTAGACTTGAAATTTCATTTTTGTTTGTGAAAAGGCTTTGCATCACAAAACAGATATTTGTGTTGTACACAAGTGCCTGTAGCCTCAGTAATCCTGAGGAAAATGGAGCAACCTAACAGATGTTGGATAATGCCTTGTACTGCAGAGATCTAATCCTGGTTTCTAATAGATAAACACCAAAACAAGGGGTTTTTCTCAGAGTTAATGTTATTACCCTAGACAGCCTCCATCTTTCCAAACATGCCAGTCCTCAACTCAAATCTTGGTTAGTTCTTGGGCTCCATACCTTCCTCTGTGGCCATGCATTCCATCATCTAATCACAGGGTGTATGAGTGTATGACATTTTCTTCTGTCTACTTTGAATTTCTGTCACTTAATGTTGTTGAATGTTCCCTTGGCTTTTTAATGTTAAAGAAGTGCAGTATCTTCATCTTCATTCTTCTACTGAATGAAGTGGTGTATCTTCATTTGTTATTTTAGGTACTTTTGTCATATTCCTTAACAGTTCTGAAATAACTGTTCTGCTTCTGCTGGAGAAAAATACATGAAGTGTGTTTATTTGTACTGATCTATGAGTGTCTGAGATTGACTGAAAATTTTGGCTGTTTTGAAATACAGGAGACACATTCATTAGGGATATGCTTTTGATACATCAGAGAAACGTATTTAATGGAATACTACTGTGGTTTTCACTTAACAATAAACCAAGTGAAATCAGGTATTCTGTCATACTGAAATAAAATAAGGAATTTGTACATAAAAACTGATTGTATTGTCTCCTGACAGTCCTTATCTGATGTTGCATAATTGAGTTCTGTAATCTAGGCTGGGTTAAATTTCATCTCTGCCTGGGCTTAAATATGTCTGGTTACCAAGGCTGTCTGTTCCCATATATGTGAATAGGGAATATGCTGTTCCAAGTCAATCAAAAAAGCACTGCAATTATATACTTATCCTTGGACTTTGGGTCTCAGTTTAACGAAACCTGGATTCTAAAAAAAAACCTGAGAAAATGGTTAGCAATCATTTATCTGATGAAATTGCCCTCTCTGGGTGCTCACAGAATATCTATGACTAGACTGTAATTTTCCTCAAACATGTTCACTGTATGGATTTCTTTGACGGATTTGTTTCCACAGTTTATTTTTAACTTCACAAATTGGTCTCAAGCATTCACTGTAAGCATTTGACACTTGACATTGCCGATGTACAATTAGTCAAAGAGCCTCTCTGTTCTCTCACTGGATGAGAAAGCATATCTGATGGGCAAGCATGAGAAGCAGAAAACATGGCTTCTGCAATTACCCTGTCATGTCAGTTTTCCAATTGATTTTTTTGAATGGAAATAGATCTATAGATTTTAAGCCAGGAAGGAGTGTTAGTGTTTCAGTACAGGGACAGCTAAAGCCTAACTGAGCTGAGAAAAAACTTACCTTTCAGACATGAATCCAGTCTTGATAGTTAGAAATAGGCAAGCCAATATTCCTGCCCGTAACCATTACTCATGCAGTGGTTAATCAAACTTCACAGTTAATGTAAATAGTAAATGTTCCATATCTTCAGTTTGAGTTCCTTTGATATTTATTTTTTATTCATAGTAATAATTATTACTATTTTAAGTTCCAGCCTGCCTTTCTAACAGGAAAATATCCTTTGAACTCCCTTTCTCGAACTTCTAGGAAGTATGAGAGTACAACTGAGGTCATCCTGAAGTCTAAATGAATATTTTTGGGCACTTATTTCTTGCAGTATTTGCTGAGCTGTAGTTCTAAGAAAATTACTTGCTGCAGCTATAAAGCATGGTGCCAATATAGAAATGTAGGGGAAAATGAACAAGCCAACATAGCTGTTCATGTTTTGTGGTAAAGGAAATGTCCTGGTTGAAGTGTATCTTTTCTACTTGTGTTCTTTTCCTATTTTGCATTTGCTGAGTTGAAATAAGCAATTGTCCTGCTGTTGCATAGGCAGGTTTGGACCAGGGGAAAGTCACAGATAGGAGAGGATGGCTGGTGTAAAACCTCATAGTAAGAATAGCATCTCTATGTGTAGGGGTAACACGAAAATGGGGATCCATAATAAGAAGGAGAGTTTAAGTTTTTACACATTTGGTGTGGTGCTGTAAATAAGGAGTATTAGTTTTTGTTGAAAAGTCTAATGGTGTGAAATTAGGGTTAAAAAAAAATAATAAATCAGTATGTTGCAACGTTCTGTTACAGATACGTTTAGGTATGGAAGGACAATTCAGAGGGTAAAGCAGTAATAAAAAGGGAGGCAAAGAACCTGCCTTGGAAGTTACGGAATTCTTAGTTGAAGCTTCAGCTGTACTGATGTGACTGGGGTAATAGAATGCATGGAAACTCATCAACCTGTTTTTATATTGTTTATTTCCTGAAAAGAATATTTGTGAGTGTGCCTTTTTGAGGACTATACAAGGGGCAGATCGATCTTCACATTGGTCCTCCTGTGCATAGAGAAATATCCTCTGCTTCCATCCAGCGTTCTCTGGCTTGGAGCCTTCTGGCTGCAGAATGGGCAGATGGTTTCCTTGAAGGCTCAGTGGCCCTTCATACTTCAGTCAGTGATGATATATGGCCATTGTCTGCTGACCTACCACCCATGTTCTAAATTCCTAATTCTTCAATCCAGAAGAAACCAACGGCATAAAAAGATAGCTTAAAAATATTAAGCCTTTATCACTGTTCTAGTGAATCCAGCACCCAGGGCTTCAGCTCCATGTGAAATTCCCCAAAATGAAATTCCTCTGATGCTGGTATCCAGGAAAGAATACTTCAGATCAAAATTCACCATTAAATCTATCTCCAATAGTGGACTTGCTAGGTTACAGGAATTTGAGCTGGCTTATTACACTGGAGCCAGTGATGTGTTTAGCAGATGCCTTGTTAGGTTTTGATGAAGTGCTGCAGAAGCACGAGATGCCAAAAGGAGGATTAGAAAGTCACAAGGTTGTTACAAAGGAGTAATTACTTATAAGCCTTAACATTTTGTTCTTGTCTAGTGGTGGTTTTGTTTGATGGTTCTCTATCTCTTCAATGCTGGACTTCATCTCTGGACAACTTGAGACTCTTATTCAGTACGTGAGGGTAAAGCACTACCAGTTTTATCAGTAAAAGGCTTGAAGTGTTTCAGTAGATTGTCTAAAGTACAGCCATTGCTATACAATTATAGCACTCCATTATGTAAAAAATAACAGTGGGTGGAGATCTTTGGTCTATGATAAAGAGGCAAAGCTTTTTTTTTCCCCCCTGTCATTCTGTCAAATAGATGTTGCTGTTCTCCTTCAGCTTACCAAAGTGGCAGTTGCACGGCTGTTTTCCTTAACATTGGGTCAGGTCCTACATACCTTATGCATCTGATTGAATGAGGGTAAATGAAAAAGTGAGACCACTGTCAGTCTGAGCGTAATATGCTACAGATGAAGTCCTGGGAATGGCAGGAAAACAGCTGCTGAGTTTCAAGCATAAATCCTGATAGCGGTGCTTTGAAATTAGGAGTTTGCTCATCTCTGCAACCTGCTGGGTTTATTTCTATTTCTGCTTCTTTCAGAGTTATGGAAGCCAAAGGTATTCCCTCGGTAGCAATAGCTAAGGTGCCAGTTCTGAAGAACCTCCTCAGCAAAACGTACCTGGAGTGGCACCTGTAAATTCCTTTCCAGCAGAATTTAGAAGTATGCCAAAGGATAGAGACCTATAGGACTGAACCTGTGCTAAACCTAAGCATGGCTCTACTTGATAGAGAAAGTGTCGTGCTGGCAATTCGCTTTGTGCTGGTGTTTTCACTGAGAGTTCTGATTCTCCCCCTCCTTCGTGTTTGTTCCCTTTTCCTTAATTGCTCACACCTGCCTTCCAAAGCTATTCAGTTCCTGAGTAGTGGCAGTGCACACTGCTGTGTGCATGCTCAACAAGATTGCAGTGAAGTTCTCTGTCAGCGGCAGCCATTTGGTGTAATGACAGATATTGATTATTTATTACTCGCAAACATTTAATTAAGTTTGACTGGATAATTAGCATGCTAGCAGCTAGAAGGGCAGTGAATCTATTATTTGCAAAAAATCCCACTGACCCCTGTAGGAAAGCTGACATAATGAGCTTTTAAGAGCTCTTTAGATGTGCCTGATTTTCAGTCAACTCTGAGCAAGATGCAGTATCTTTACTGCAATATCTTTAAAGTGGTAAATGAATACAGAACCTTAAATCCTGACTCTGGGATTCCCCAAGGACGTAGGAATTGACATGTCTGAGGGCAGGGTCCATTTTTAAGTACTAAAGACAGTCTAGCACTAGATGCACTTTCATTCAATTACCCTCTGTACCTACAATTAATCTCTTCATAATGAGTTTGGAAGAGGGGCTGTGAGTATTAAGTAATCCACGTGTTGTATGTAAGGCTGTCCTCAATTCTTATCTACTTTAACTAGGTAATTTTCTCATTCATCTTGTTTGACACCAGTATATGTTATCTGCCTATTATGAAGATGAACAGCATCTTGGTCAAATCAAGTTTGGTACTTAGCTGAATCTCAAATTGGGCCAGTGTGTGCTATGATACTGATGTCTGTTTCATGTCTGTATACAAAACAGACATATATAAGTTATGTTACATATAATACACAAATATAAATGTGTAATATGCATGCATTATTAAATGTATTGAAACATACGTAATTTTTGTATGTAATAAACAAACTTTTTACATACGTAAAGCATTTGTTGAGATATTCCTAGCCAGTGATGTGTGTGATCAAACAACTTAGAAAGCTGACTTACTGACAGTATAAACCTGTAAAAGTGTAGATTTTGTGCTAGAAATAGTAATGCAAGGGCAAGGTTTCTTGACAGAGAAAGAGAATAAAATGGGATGTGTCAGTTCTTAGAAAAGCAATTTCTGTTCTTGGCTGTAGAGCAAAAACTGTCTTTGATTTCCTGGCAGCGTTCGTTACAGGGATAGCAATGAGCAGACTTGGGGGGGCGAAGGTTCAGTGCACCTTACAGATGTGCTGCGTGCATAGGTGTGCTGTGAGTGAATAGAAAGATTGCATAGGCAGGAGTGAACTTTAACTGGGTGGGAAGTTTAAAAGGGGTGGGGAGTTGGTATAGTGGGGAAAATGGCCTTGCTAGTAGTTTAATACACCCTGTTTGCTCATGAATTGCTTTTTGGGAAGCTTTGGCTGCCGTTTGTGGCGAGTATGTAAAAGAACTGGTGTGTGCAAACTTGCATGTTTGTTTGGTCTATTGTTAGGGAGATGAGACAATGTGTAGGAGTAAAAAGTAATCTGTTAATTTCTCATCCAGATGACTGTCAGTGTTCAAAGAGCTTCTGCAGCAAAGCCAGTTCCTCCATGGGGTTTTTTTTATTTTAATTTTAATTTTTATTTTTTGCTGTGTTTTAGGAAAGCACTGCAGCAGTTTGGCTGTGTAAAATGCCTACTGGGACAGCCATTGATTCTGCTGTGCAAGCCTTCCTCCTCCTACTTCCAGGTGGTGGGGAAATACTGAATGTCAGCCTAAACTTAGAGGGGCACAAGATTTTGTTGCCCTCAGTTGAAGGATACGTATAGCATAGGACTGAGTCTTGTATGGATGTGCAGCAGTTAAAAGAATGAAGTGCACTGCTTCAGTTCTGCTGTCTGAACGTTGGTGGCAACAATCACCTGTGGATGTGTAACAAAACTAAAACTATGATCAGTGCAAGGTAGCATTGAAATCTGAATTGCTTCTCTTGTGTACATAATGCAAAAAAGAATTGGCTATATCTAAACATTTAATTACACTATATATATTTTTTTGCATCTAGTGATAGTCCTTGGCTCCTTGTTCAGCTCCATGTAACTTTGTAACAAACATTTATTTAAGCCTATTAGTAGATTTGATCTAACCAACGTCACCTTTTCTTTTATTAGTGGCAGAGAATCGAGGGGTCTTGGACAATAATCAGAGATTTTCTTCTTCACCAACTTACCTACCTGTGAGCTACCGCATCTTCAGTGCAGAGACCTCTTTCTTCCTCAAAGAAGCCAACCAAGACTTCATGAGAAATTCCAGTTTGCAATCCAGGGTGGAATCATTCTTCCCATATAAAGCCAAGAGACCTCCTGTGTTAAATGCCAGCTATGGACCTTTTTCCATTGAACAAGTTGTGCCCCAGGACCTAATGATAACTTCCAGCTTCTTTGGATCTGCCAACAAGTTCACTTATAACTGGAAACTTAAGGCCTACATAATGAATGACAAAATCTACCCTAGCAAGCCCAAAGTCCAGGTCCTGTTCTACATTGTGGGCAGGGACTGGGATGACTATAGCACGACGGAGAGGCTGCCCTGCCTGCGGGTGTTCGCCTTCCGAGAGACGCGGGAAGTCAGAGGCAGCTGCAGGCTGAAGGGGGACCTGGGGCTGTGTGTGGCAGAGCTGGAACTGCTGCCAGGCTGGTTTAACCCCCCCACCGTTGTCACAGGTCGTAAGAAGCCACTTGATCTTACTGAAGGGAGCCCTGTGGAGCTTTACTACACTGTCCAACCAGGAGATGAGAAGGGAGAGTGTACTGCTGAGGATGTAAGGAAGGGAAATGCTATCCGGCCAGGAAAAGATGGCATGGATGAAAGCATGTCCCACTTACAGCGGATTGGATCAATCAGCCTCTATCGAGGCCAGGAGACTTCTCAGCTAACAGAGCTACGGCTGGATGGTAACATCGTCGTCTGGCTGCCCTCAAAGCCTGTCAAACAAGGAGAGGTGGTGAATGTTTATGTGACAATTGCCAACAATTCTACGGTGGATCAGTTCATACTCAGGTATAGTAGAATGTTTTTTTCCTGTTTCTGATGCACACTTGGGGATAGTGGGCAAATCTAAATCAATTTAGTGTTTACCCACATTGCGTATTTTTCTTCAGCTGAATATTACACCTAATCATTGAAATCCTTTGTTTTCCTTCATGAGCACTGAAAAGAGGACTTGAAAGCCTCTGTCCCTAGGAGTCTTTTAACATGTACGCCGTGCCACTTAACACATGTCAGTATCATGCAGTAAAATACAGAATATGGTAACTTGCTGCTTTAGTGGTGCCATTTCTGTGGAATAACGGACTGTAAGGCACCAGGAAAGTTCTCTGTTTTACAGAGCTTTTTTAAAACTTGCCTTTTGTTGCATAGGCATAGTTTAAATGTAGCAAAATTTCAATTGCTTGCTTTTCTCTAAGTGCTCTGACAGTGCTTTGCCTCTCCCACACAGAGAGGGTTTTGTTATGAGAACTCTTTAAGGGGGATTTAACTGTCTCCTTATGGTTAAGCATTGTTTGCCGTTGCCAATATGTGTGTCCTTTGAAATAAATTCTGATGCGTTTGATATTGCCATTGATTGTAAAGGACTGTTAGAAATAACTGCAATTATTTGGGGCAGGTATGGTGAAAGCAATACCTCTGAACATAAGAAACACCCTACTGGGTCAGATCACTTTCATTTCCTTCTATAGCAGTTTCCCTATCAACGAAATGGAAATCCTTTGAGGATGGCAGACTAGAAAACTTGTTAATCGCTGAGATAGTTTATGTATTTTTTTCTTTTGGTTACCAGGCTTTGAATTCAAGGGAAATCTCCACGGTGATAAATAACAATTGCTCTTTAAAGCCTCAGGGAATCAGAGTTTCCCAAAAGATTCTACGCATGAAAGTATTTATTTCTAAGGCTTATATGAATTAGATTAATACATAGTTGACAACTAGCAAGGAGAATAGCCTTTAGAACAGGAAGAGTTGCTTGGCAGATAAAAGGCTTTTATTTAAAAACTGGGATTTTAGTTATCCCGGAATCATTCTCATGTTTGAAGCTTTGGTGAAGTTGGTGAGATTATCTCTCAGACACCTGTTTACAGAGTGAAACCTCCGTTACAGAAATCTTTTCTGACTGCGCTGCTTATCTTCTATTGAAAATCCTTTTTCTTGAAATAGTAGAAACAGAATACTATTCCACATAACAAGCATAGCTGTGGTGAAAGAAGAAATCCAAAGGCAATGAACTGGATATTTGCTGGGTGGATGGGAGAGGAGGGGATCACCCTTTGAAGGTCTGTTTCAGTCTTTATCTTCCTGAAAAGCGAGTTGGGAGATGAAACAAGCTTGTTCCAATCTGATGATGTATTACTTTGCTCTGAAATGAATCTGCCTAGGCAAGGATTGCATTAGTATGCTGAGCGGTATGGTTTCTGTCTATCGTACAGAAATGGTACATGGGATATCAGTAGTGTCGCTTGCATTATGGACAAAATGAATTATTCTTGGTTTTGAGAACACATAACTGATTTATTTGAAGTAAATACTCTGACATTTGTTGGTGTATTGATCTGTGTTATCATAAATGCAGAGCTCAGGCCGTGTTTTCTTGTTGAAACACTTCTGGTGGAAAAGATTTGCTTTTTTTTTTTTTTTTGCTTAAAATTCAAGACACAAAGACATGAAAGGTGGGAAGAGATGAAGATTTTAAGCTCTTTGCTAACTTCCAGTGGAGGTGGAGAGGTGGTGTTTGTTTTTCTTTCCTTTGAGAGAGAGGAGAAAGCACACCACATGGCACTGATCTTTAGAAAGCAAGTCAGTCCTGTGGTACATCTCAAATCAATGTCAATATTCCAAAAAAGCTGTCAATTTTGAAAACTTTGTCTTGCAGGCACGTTAAAATTTCATATCTACTGCAGCTGCTGATCTGTGCAGTTAAGGCATCAAGTGGAAGCTTTGGTAGGCATGAAAGAATAATTCCATGGTTTTGTGCAGTGGTGTTTTTTGGCATTATTTTCCTTCTTCTTTTAAACAAAACAAAAAAAGAAACTGTTCTAACAGCTTACCTGCTGTAGAAAAGGACAGCTGGTGCCCTCTGCTCCTTGCTGTTGTCCCATGAGGCAGAGCTTGAGTGCTGGTAGCAGGTCTGAAAAACCCAGTTCAGTTCCCTGATTCTGTGGTTAAAATCTCTCTTTTCAGTAAAAACTTCCTGGATGTGCAAGTATGGGATGTGACCCAGCAACCCATGAGGTGCTGGTATCTCCCAGGAAGGAGCAGTGGACTGCAACAAGCAGGGAGAAGTGAGCACATATGCTGGTTCTGCCTGGGGGCTGCTTTAACCTTCTCTGTGGCCATTTGCCTGGTTAGATGTAGGGCTGTATCCTCTTGTGTTCATGGGCTCCCAGCACAGCGATCCCTACGTCCTGTGACATGCATTCACATTTAATCATCCTGAAGAAAAACACACCACACACTGTCCTGAGGCTTTGTGGGTTTATTTTCTGCTTCTTGTGTAGTATTCATTGAGGTATTGCAACATCCCGGTGCTGAAGTAAACAACATGTGATCATTGCTTTAGGAAAAGAATGGATACAAATCTTCTCTGGCACAAGTGAAACAGACTAATCTAAATGACCTCATATCCTCAAATCAGTGGAATTGAAACTGTGTTCTTAAATTGTATCTTAATTCAGAATCCTGTTACAGTATCCATACACTTATCAGCCTTATGACACAAGTAAAGTCGAAGAAAATGACTAACATGACAGGGAATGAAGTGCATTATGCATGGTAGTGCATTAACGCAGTAGGAGCGCTGTCTGAATAAACAGATCTTCCTCCCATGCATCTAGTCAGTGCAAGCTGTTGTGAAAGCAGTTCAAACAATGCTGATAAGTTACAAGATCTGAGTTTTTCCTACAGCCCTTTCCTGCTGGGTGACCTTTGTGAAGTCTGTGCAAGTATTTTCTATATGCTTATCACAAAATGTAAGCAAGTTGGTCAGCATTATGCTCAGGAGTGTCAATCCTGTTCCTAAAAGACTTCGACTTCAACTTCCTCTAATAAAAGGAGTTTTGGATTTGCCATATATTATCAGTGGTAGAGTGAATGGGAAAATCTTAATAGAAGTGAAGAAATGGAGAAGAAGGGAAATATCACTGTGCTGTATTCCTCCCAGTGGGAGGGACTTCTGGGCCCCCAAAGGAGAGATGAATTGCACTGAGTATTGACTGCTCAGTAAGGAAAGTTCGTGTTACTTCTAGCAGTTGGGTAAACTTTGAACAGAAATAAGGCAGCATCGTTGTAATGTCTGTAGACAGTAAGACAGCACAGGATAAGGAAACAGAAAAAAACTATAGATTCCTAAAATACAGATCACTGAAGTCTTCTGTGCACTTCCTGGAGCTGTTGTAAGTTAACACCGCTGGATTCCATAGGGCTGCATTGATTGATTGTCACTTCACCAATTGCTGTGTATTCAGGCTTTTCTAATCTGAGTCATCGTTTGTGTGTACTGTATGTAAGGATTAGAAAGCAAAATCCTCAGGGCGAGACCTTGTTCCTGAATGCTTCTGTCAACCTCCCTCACACCCAGCAGGCTACAAATAATGGAAAGATCACAACGTACTGAAAACAAGTCATTCTTGTGAGGTTAACTTTCAGAAAGAAATGCGTGTGTAAGCTGAGATATTTGAAGGTTATTGGGAAGCTGGCCACTCAATTTCTGTTCGTAGTGCTGGGGAGCCAGTGAGCGGAAAGCATTAGGCAGCTTTGAAAAGTTTGGCCTGTGTGCGTTGCTGGCTTTGTTCTACAGTTCTAAATACTTTTCCAGACATTAAAGGATCTTTCCATCTGTCTTTCCATGGCTTGATATACCACATTTGAATTGGGATAGCAATGTACAGCACAGAGCCAAAACAAAAACTGGGAGTGCTGAATGCTTTGTTTTACTCTGCTGGGCAGCAGCTGAGCTCTAATGAGTTGGAGAGGGTGCTGAGCCGATGTACTGGTGGTATTGAGGAAGATAAGTAAAGGGAAAGGGGATGAAGTTATCTGTCCTGATTAGAGAGAAGAGTTGAAAAATGGTTACTTTATCCCTTCCTTAGGTTTATTGTTACAGACTTTTGCAGTGCAACAAACTGCACCCAACAATCCAACAAACTGTCGGTTATAAACAGTTACTGAATTACCTTTGTCCAGCAATCAAATCAGTCTAAGACAATGGGCAATTAGTAGTGATAATCTACGGATTGGATGAAGGATAGAGGATAAATGCAGTGAGAAAAGCTATTAAACTGATCAGTGGAGACAGCTTTATATGTCAGTTCCTAATAAGTATTGACAGCAGGCAGTGTTAGGTGATACTGAGACCTGTTTAAATCTAGGGGAAGATGCACATATACTGCTGTGTTCAGGAGCTGAGTAGTAAAGTTCAGTGATGCTGAAGTTCATAGAAATCTGAGTACTCGGTTCTGAGAATCAAAAGCTATCACCTCCCTTTTAAAAAGATTGTCCTGAACACCCTGATCAGCTGCCTGTAAGCTGGAGCTTTGTGCAGAAGTCTTAAAACAAGAAAAACCTTCATTAAATAGTGTGATCTTTGCATGGATTTTCTTTGTACCGTGAAAGCGGTCACTTCCACAGTGCGTTCTCAAATTCTGAGTTCCTTCAGCCAAACTCAGGGCTATTTCCTTTAGTGAAATTGACTTCTGCACTTCAGGCTGGTAGGTTTGAAGACTTTTCCTTAATATACTGATTGGAAAAGTAGGATAAATTGATAGGGGTTATCTTAAGAGGAGTCCATAAAAGGGAAAGAGTAACAGTGTGGTACCAGGGCATTGGCAGTCTGACAGCATGGCTTGCTGTAGATTCTGCAGCAGGAGTGCTGGGGCTGAAGTTTTTGTTTAATCTTTGGTGAATGTTTGTGTGTAAAATAAATTTCAGAAATGTTACACTGAAACATCTTGTTAAAACCTCCTCCTAGAAATACTTTGCTTTCCTTATTTCCCTTCAGTCTCAGCAAA